CCAGGATGGGCTTGGACACTGGGCCCTACTGGACAGACCCGCACCAGGTGGCAGGTGCTGGGACAGCTGTGCGTGCCGGTTGCCATGGAACGCTCTAACCCGGTGGAAGAGACTAGGGGCAGCTGCCAAGGAGGGAGCTCAGGGTGAAGTTGCAACAGAGGCCTCTGATGAGTCCACCCTGGGTCAGACCTAGAGGACCCGCCAGGATAGATCCTGGAAAGACTGGGAGGAACGTGGTTTTACTCTTTCCCCCTTTTAAAGGGCCGCAGTGATGCACTTGGGGTATTTTCATATATGCCACACCTGTGCTGTAACACAAAATCTTGGGCTAAGAGAGCAGTTTGTCATGTACATGAATGTGTGGCCCAATCCAAACGTTAACATTCCAGCTGTAACCCAAGCTACCCGTGACTTCAAGTCTAAAAAGAATAAAATTCTTTCTGTGAGCCTTGGGATTGGAGCCTATTGGTCTCTGCTTGGTAGTGAGGCTGCAGGTTGCATCTAGGTTGGCAGAAGAGGTTGTCCTATTGCCTAGAAAGCCTCCTCTTTCTGAGTCTCAGTTTCCTTTTCTGCAAATTGGAAAAACAGGTAAGAGCACATCAGCAGATTCCTTGAGTTGCACTGTGTAGACTTATAGAGTGTGACTTTGGGGCTGGGTACTTGGGAAGGGAGCTTTCCTCACTGCCTACCCTCCACTCCCCACACACATGGTGTGTTAACAGGCATGAGGTGCTGCTGATGGAGAATCCTGCTCATTCCCTCCTTCCAGCAGGTACCGGCAGGCCCAAAGAACTTGCCTGCAGAATATGTCCAAATGCCTTAGTCCAGCAATGAAGGTGGCCTTTCCCTTGGGGGCAGCTCATGTTCCCTGCCCAGCTTCCCCCCCCCCCCACCAATCTCTACGTGCATCCTTGCATTAATTCAGCCAGTAGGTGCTGGGGGCCTGTCCTGTGTCAGGGACCTGTCCAGATTCTAGGATACAGTGGTGAACAGAACAAGGTCCTGCCCATGGTTCTTTAGTGGGGCCAGGTGAACCACAGGCAGATACAGAATATGGCAGCGATGAGATGTGCCTGGGAAGGGAAATAAAATGATGGGGTAGACAGCGATAGGAATGAATGCTGTTTTATTTGGTGTGGTCAAATGCCATCTTTCTGATAGACACAGCTGGGTAGGTCTCAGCTAGGCTCTCGGAGTGAAAGAGCTATGGGAAAGAAATCTTGACAAAGTGGGTACTCAGGCAGAGAGGACGGAGGCGCCAGTCTTGTGAGGCCAGTGTGGCTGGAGTGCAGGGAGCAGGGGAAAATGTCAGGTGATGTGATGAAGAGGTGGGTGGAAAGGCCAGGGACTTCACTCTGAGCTTGATAGGATGCCAGTGTGAGCTGACCTGGTTCACAGGGATCCCATGGCTGCTGTGCTGATGTGGTCTGCATCTGAGCAGAGCCTTCAGTGGGCAGCTGCAGAACAGCATTAGCATCCGCTGCAGTTTCCCCAAGAATGCATGGAGAGCAGGTGCTGGGTTGGTCCAGCATGTTGGGGTGGAGACGTGTAGACTCTGGATGCGTTGAGGAGATTGTTTCAGGTTTGCTGATGATTCAGTGTGTGGTGTGAGGACAAGAATGAGGAGGCAAGACCAGCTGCAAACCTTTTGTCCTCAGATGCCGAGAGAATGAGGTTGCTGTTTACTGGATGGGAAGACCTCAGGGGCAGGTTTAGGGGTAGAGGGAATCAGCACTTGCCTGGCAGGTTAATTTTGAGGAGCTTGTTGACAGTCAAGTGAAGATGTCAGGAAGGTGGTTGGAAGGAGGATGGCCTTGAAAGGAGAGTTTGGATTGTAGAAAGGAATTGGGTGTCATTGCTCTGAATGGTATTTAAAACCTTGAACCTAGTCACGTCGCCTTGGGAGGGTACCTTGGGAAGAAGGAGGTCTAAGGAGAGCACTGTGGAACCATCCAGTTGAAGTGAGAACTCACCTTCAAATATAACAGCACTCAGGTCACAAGTGATGTGGGCAAGGGCAGTTCAGGTGGACATCATGAGGACAACATTTCTGTTGGAATTGGTTCAAGGTAAACAGGAGAGGGAATATAAGTCACTCTCTTGAGTTTGGCTGGAAAGGGGAGAGAGAGCTGGAGAGAGAATAAAGCGGGGTCAAAGGACAACTTTTGTTATAGGGGAAGCAAGAGTATGGCTGCCTGCCAAGCAGATGATCCCATAAGGAGAGAGCATTGTGGTGCAGAAAAGAGGGCCAAGTGCAGAAGCCACATTCCTGAGTAGGTGTGTGCCAGGTCCACAGCCATGGAGAGGCCTGTCTTAGGAGGAGCTGCCAGGTTGGCCATTGCCCCAAGAGGGAGCAGGCCCAGTGGTGGGTCTTCTGATTGCTTCATTTCCTCAGTGTAGTAGGAAACAGCGTCATCAGGGGATAGTGGGTGTTGGGGGTTTGCTCAGAAGGAGGATTTAGGCGTAATGTCTTGCTGTTCAAGGGCTGGTCCCTGGAGCAGCAGCACAGAGCAGCATTAGCATCAGCTGGAGTTCACCCCAGGGGCTTGGACTCAGAATTGGCATGTTAAGATCATCACCAGGGGCCTTACAGGCATATTCCAATTTGAGCAGCTTGGTCTAGGATGCAGGGGGGCACATTATGTCTGTGGGCCATGTCCTGCCCACCACTTGCTTTTGTGACTTAGGGTTCTATGAGAACACATTCTCTTTGTGAAGGTGTGGTCTATAGCTACTTTCATACTCCAAAGGCAGAGTTGAACAACTACAGCTGAGATTCAAGGGGCCTAAAAAGCCTGAAATATTTCCTGCCTGGTCTATATAAAGAAAGTTTTCCTTGGGGCATAGGAATGGAGAGTGAGTGAATTAGGCCCAGGTGCATCAGGCTCTCAACAAGGGAAGATCTCCGGCCCATCCCAGGCTCCTGATTAAGCAACCTGCACATGCCTATCTCTCGAGTTCTCAGGTGATGCCGATGCTGGTCCAGGAGCCACACTTTGAGAACTTACATATAAGGTGAGGTAGGATTACCAGAGCCACTGCTGCAGCTTGAAGTTAGTGGCCATGAGTTTCAAGCAGGACTAGGCAGTATGTTTGTGCCAATCACGTTGAGCTTCCAGGACACAGGGGCAAAGGAGTCAGACAACTAGAAAACTGGAAACATGGTCTCTTTCTAGGCCAGGTCAGCCCTAGGTGAGAAGGCAGGGGAGCCTAGGCCTGGGGCGAAGGGATTCCAGCAGTGGAGTGGGAAGCTCAGCCAGTGAGGGCCAGGCATCCTGATGCTCTCAGACCTGGGACACTTCCAGGGAGCCCAGCCCACGGGAGATTCTGGCATTTTGGGGACTAGAGGACAGGGAGGGGAGATGAGATTTGTCCCGAGGTCCCCTCCAGTCTTCTTTCTAGCCGTGAGACCCTCCCCTTTGTCCCTCCCATCCACCTGTGCTTCCTTTTCATCATGATCCTAAGGAAACGGTGCCTCATTTCTTCATTATGCCCCAAGAGGCCACAGAGGCTCTAGTACGACTTGCAGGATTGAACCCTGGCCCTGTCTGGACCCACCGAGAGCGCACACGCCCCTCCCTTGGTTCCCATTTCCCTGTCTTAAAGGTGTATTTGAGCAGTCACACTACTGTGGGGCCATGGGAGGTGGAAGTGACTTAGCACAGTTCACCTGCTGGGGGTCTTGCTTCTGTTATCCCACTCACCTTAGCCTCCAATCTCCTTTCCCTCCTGTCCTGTGACAGTAGCAGAGAGATGCCATGAGCACACATAGTCTGCTCCGCGTCAGGCAGAGGACACTGTGATTTGACCACTGGCAAAAGAAGGAGAGGGCTGATTGGTGGCCAGTTTTTCTCAGCGCATCCCTCTGCCTTCACTGCACTTTGACACCTCCCCGGAGTCAGGTCAGCTGAGCCTTCAGGAGGGACTTGTGCTTATCCGTGTGCACAGCACACGAGTGTGTTCTTCATGTGTGCCCATCGGTATGGTCACTGGGTATGCACACACCACGAGCAGCATATCACAGTTGGTCTCCCAGTTGTTGATGGCTACCTCGTGTTGGTGACAAGGCCAAAATGTTTACCCTGTGGGGACGCAAGGAATCCATTTGGAACGAGTCCCAGGGGATGGATATTTGATGGACTGGGGAGTAATTCCAGAAGTGAAGGGCAAGACCAAGCAGTTTAAGCTCCAGAAACCAGTCCAGGCCTGGAGCCGCAGCCTGCATTCTGAAGGGCCTGCCTGGTGCACAGCAAGAGTGTACCTGCCAGAGGTGTTTGTGTGGGGTGCGTTTGTCTACACAGGTCTGTGACACAGGTCTGCAGGATGAGGAATGTCCTCATGTCTATTATCCCTTTGAGAGAACCCCTCGTGGCTTCTTTGCTCCCAAACTGACCCTGGTGTCCCAATACCATTGAAAACTCTCCACGAGCTGTAGTTTAGCTAGTACCTTCTCAGCCTCCAGTGGGAGATCCTGGCTGTCCAGCTGTGGAGGTTGGCCTGGTCAGTGCCTTACTGGCCATCTTTAGCATCACTCTCATTCCCCAGCTGGGTAGGCACGGTAGCCACCCCCCTGCCTTCTCACTGATGGAAGAGGTGTGAGTCTGTCCAGGTTCACAGACCTAGGCTCCTTCCCACAGAGCTCCAGGATGCCATCTGTTCAAGTTCAGTTCTATACCAGAGGCAGGACCAGGCCTGGTCCTGGGAAGCAGACTGTGTGAGAAGTTGGTATGTGGCATGGCAGGTGGCCTGGAGCAGTGACAGCAGAAGGTGGCCAGCGGAGCAGCCGGGCCCCCAGGCCCCCTGGCCATTGCCAGGTCTGCCTGCATTTCACTGGTGAAGAAGCGGCTTACTTAAACTGAACTTGGCTTGCCTTCTTTTCCTTTGGTAGGCAAGTTCAGAATGTCCACACGGGCCTTGACCTGACCGTGCCCCAGCACCAGGAGGTACGGGGTAAGATGATGTCCGGCCATGTGGAGTACCAGATCTTGGTGGTGACTCGGCTGGCTGCATTCAAATCAGCCAAGCACAGGCCTGAGGATGTTGTCCAGTTCTTGGTAAGCAGGGGACCATAGCCAGAATGTTCCAAGGGTACCTAGAATCAAGATGGGCAGAAACACCAGGGTGCAAGTAGAATCGGGGTGTGGGCACTTCTCCATCCAATTCTTGCTCAGGAGCTGGAGTGCCAGGCTATGTCACAGGTGGGCACAAGGGTGAATCAGAAGTGCACAGTCTAGGGAGACAAACTTGCACGTGTGTGGGCATCACTGTGAGGACAGAGTGGTGGGAGACATGGGGGGCTGTGAGAGTGGGGAGTGGGATGGGGAGGGTTTCAGTCCTGCTTTGCTGCACAGACCCAGGCTCCTTCCCTGGATGGTACAGGAAGTGCAAGCTTGGGCCATCGTTGGACCTAAGATGCAGGTTTTAGATTCATCCACTTGGAGGTGAGGTTAAAAGTCTGGGAGTAGATGAAGTTGCATGGAGAACAGGAGAAGTGGAAGGTGCAGAGAAAGGCTAAGGAAGAGATCCTGGGGACCGCCACAGGTCAGGGAGAGTCAAGGAGAGGGAAAAGTCTGCAGTCAAAACTGAAAGACTCAAAACTGAAAGACTCTGGTGGGGTCATCAGAGCTAAGGGAAGAAAGTTTCAAGAAGGGGTGAATTCACATGTTCATTTATTTATTCTTTACCCTTTGGTCTCTTATATAAAGGGTCTGGACCTGGCAACCAGGAAAGATAGGCTACAGGATTTTAGGACAGGGTAAAATGAGCTAGAGCCCTGCAGTCCAGAGAGAAGTAACCTGCTGCAGACTTGCTCACAAGTTGGTTCTGAATCTCCTGGCAGCCAAGGAAAAAAGGGAAACAATGAATTTTATAGCTTTGAAGACCTATTTATAAAGACCAAATTCTAAGAGAAATATATGGCACTATCTTTCTTCAAGGGACATTCAGTAACATCATGAGAAGAGCCTAAAATAGCAGTGCTGTTTTTCGTGTGACTGCTGCTTAGACCCACTCTTGGTGAGAACCCAGGTAGAATGTGAACTGCTGGTTATGTCTGCATTGTTCCAAGAGTAACTCTGCTCTGCAGGGCTGTTTTCAGCTCCTGGTAATCATACTTTATTCAGGATGGGGTTCAACACACCCATATCTTCAGGGACAAAAGCAGAAAGAGAGAACATTTTGAGATTGTGTTGCCGGACAGGAGGGAGCAGCTGCACTGTGGGAACCCTTGAGAGGCACCAGGTCATTGTGCTCTGTCCTGTGCTGCGGGCCCACCTCACATGCAGGGCATATGTGAGGATGTCTGTAACAATTCCACATGCCACACCAGTGCTACCTTGTCCTCACCAGTGATGCTCATACCCTGTGTGGTCCCAGAGCACACTGGCAGGTACTTCTCAGACATTTTGAAGTACCTGCAGAAGCAAAGCAGAACTCCTTTCCTCCCTGTGGGATGATCTGGGGTGGGGTGTAGCCCAAAATTGCATGCCCCAAACCTGAAATCTCTCTGGAGCTACATGATTTAGATAAAAGAATTAATGAGCATTCAGCATCTTCTCCCTAAAAAGACACATTTTTTAAAAAAATATAGATATGTTTAATTGCTAACCATGAAGTAAAACCAGCCTTCAGGACTGGTAGGATGTTCAAGGCTTGGCTAACCCCTGTGTGTAAGCATGGTGCAGGCATGTGCACAGGTTCAGGGGCCGTGGGCTCTGTTACCGTCTGCCCGGTGATGGCCTGTGCACCGGGTGTATCATGTACATGAGTTCTCGCCTCAGCTCCCTCTGCTCTCAGTTCCTCTCCCTTGTTCTCCTTTTGTGGTTGGGGCAGGTCACTGATGGCTATGGGCCTTTCATGGTCTGGGAGCTCATCCTTAGAACTCCCATCCCTCTCATGCTCTCTAGATTGGTGTGTCCGTGGGCCCAGCCCACATGGAGGACTCAGGCCAGCAGGGGGCGCTCGGCCACCACTGCTGCCTTCTCTGCCTTCTTGTCTGGAGTCACCAGTTCCTCCAACAATGTGGGTCAGGGCCAGTGTTACCAGTCACTCTTTGAGAGGATATTCTCAGGAAAGCTCTAGAACCAGATTTTAGTACTAACAGCTGCTGACACCTATCCCAGGTGACTCCCCACTTGGGAGGTTCTGAAACCCCCAGCCATCTCTGGTATTTAGAATCTTAAAACTGGAGTGCTGAGTGACCCAGACATATCCAGTGCAGGGGACCACCAGACCTCCTGAGCCCAAGTGAATGGGATTGTCCCTGTCCCTTGCTTGCCAGCGTGTTCCAGAGAGTGCTAAGGGGACAGGCCAAGACTAGGGGTGCACGTGTTAGTCACCCGTGCCTTTGCCCTCCACACTGCTACAGGCTCATCAGGGAGACAGCCCCAGCCTCTGGGAAGCACTGAGGAATCCAGCAATGTGGGGGCTGTTGGTAGAGGCTGTGGCATAGGACAGGTGACTTTTCTCGTAGCCCACACTTGACTGTACAGACTACAACAATGGCACCACACCCTCTATGCTGCAACCGTTCACCCGTATGAGACCTGAGCCAGCTGGAATATTCCATGTGGAGCAAACACACAGCAAGAGCTTGATAATTGAATGAGTAGATGATTAAGCTGCCTGGGAGTAATAGGGAGAGGCTGAGGAGGAAGAAGAGGTGGTCAACCTGGAGCCCTGCAGGACGCTGAGCACCACCCTCAGGGACTCAGATGGCACTTGGGACCACCTTCAGCAAGAGCTTCACTCAGGTCCTGGCAAGCTGAGAGGTCCTGGTGGCGGTGCCAAGAACCTGTTTCAGCAGTGCCTGGCTCCACTGTGGCTTAGGATTGGCCCTGCTGGAAGGGAAGGCTGCTGCTGACGTACAAGAGACAGCCAACAAGAGATCTGTGCTGAGAAAAGGTGACTCATGGCGTTTCTGGAAGATTACCGGACAGTCTTCCAGCTGCTGAGATCACCAGCTAATGCAACAGAAAGCCCAGGATGAGGCAGAGGCAGTGGTCTCTTGCAGGCCGGGGAAGGGTCCCTGTATCAATTGTCTTTACCTAGACCTGCAGCAGTACCTGGAATCCCACCATGGCTGCAGCTTTCCTTTGGGCCTCTAGGATTTTCTTAAGGGACCAGAGCCTGAGGTGGGGAAGCTGTGGGAGAGCCACAGGCAGGCCTGCCCCAGGCGTACTCAAGCGCACTCCCTTTGGGACTCTGGTTTGGGGGCAAGAAGACCTCTCCCCTCCTGCTCTTCACTCATGAAACTTCATGCTCCTCTCATTCCAGGTCTCCAAAAAGTACAGCGAAATTGAGGAGTTTTACCAGAAACTGAGCAGTCGTTATCCAGAGGCTAACCTGCCACCACTGCCCAGAAAGGTGCTATTTGTTGGGGAATCTGACATCCGGGAAAGGACAGCCATGTTCAATGACATTCTGCGCTGCGTCTCAAAGGATGCCCAGCTGGCAGGCAGCCCAGAGCTGCTAGAGTTCTTAGGTACCTGAGGCTCTGTCCAACATTCCTGAAGTCCCCCTGGCCCAGAACCTGGCCTTGCTGCCTGGGCGGAGCAGGAACCAGTCCCCAGCTGCCCTCCCCAGCCTGGAAGCTCTGACCAGGCTGTTGAGGCGGGTAGACCTCACTGACATCTTGAGCTGAATGGTGAACAAGAGAGCCAGCTCTTGAGGGACTGACCGCCAGGGTGCCGGATGGGCTCACACTGTGTGTTCTCCCTAGTGCGCCCCCTAAGGCTTTCTGGCCAGCTCCTCCCTGAACACCCCTATACATACACCCTCCACCTCTTGCCAGCCAGGCCTAGGGACTGTGACATAGAGGGTAAACTGTGCTTCCACAGCTAGGCTGGTGAGCAGGACCCTTGGGACACTACCTCTCTGCCTCTGCCCCCACAGAGAGGCTTGTGACCCAGCACCCCTGTCTTCAGCAAGGAGACCTGGAGCACTGTCAATCTGTGCCCCAGCCCTTCGCTCTCCTTTTAGTTTTCTCATCTGTAAGGTGGGGAGGTGACCAGCTGACAAGTGGTCATGTGTTGAGTGGGCTAACACATACAGCACTTAGAACAGAGCCTACCAACCACACAGGAAGTGGTGGCTAAGATGACACCCCACCCAGCACACCCTGTCAGCTCCCACCCCATGGCCTAAAGGCAGGAATTGTTCCCTGAGCCCTGAGGACAGGGCAGGCCCACTGGGAGGGCTGGCCTCTTACCTGACTATCCCTCTTCAGGTCACTGGCTTAACCACTGTGCGTCTCCTAATTCCATAGGACACAAGGGAAATTTTCAAAAAAAGGTCGACAGTAAATAAACCAATTTTTAAAAAATAAGGGTCAGGGACAGAAGCAAAACCAGCAAGTGCACAGAAGGACTCAGACAAGACAGGGTCGCAGAACCCAGGTTTCTATTGTATTTCTGTGCCCTGCTTAAGGGTCTGGGGTTTTGCCTGCTCCATTTGCTCCAAAGCCAAAATCCTTTCTTCTCGCCTGGCCTATATGAGGGGTGACTGCAGCTGGAGGAGAGGTTCAGGTGTCCCCACCCCTCTTATGGAGAGATAGGATAGGTGGTCCAATTCCCTTGCTGCCGTGCCTGGTTCCTGTTCTGTAAAATAATGTCTCCCGGGGTTTGTGTATTCACATGTCAGATGCTTGTTACATGAAATTGAAGGGACATGGGCTTTTGGATGTCTAAAAGAAAAGAGCAGAATATACAATATGATCATCACCACTCGCTAAGTACATCCTATATAGGCATTAAAAAATACTCTAAGTTTTTTCTTTTTTTTTTTTTTTTTTTTTTACCTACAGGGAGATATTTTAAAAAGTGAAGGCTCTGAAAGATAAACTACTTAGTCACTATTTAGATAGATACAAACAAGTAGTCAGACCCACGCTTCTCAGACTCTCCGCAGGGGAGGACTAGCTTTTTTATTCCCAGCCTTCGCAGGCGTGTACTTTCACAAATGCCACCCGCAGATGCTGCCGGGTGCCAAGTTGCTGTGGATGTTTCAGGATGTTTGCTCTCCCTTTCTGAATGTCCCTCATCCTGCACCTGTCTGTGGGCCACACTTTGAGATCTGAATCAGATTGTAATGGAGTGATACTGTTTCTTCTGGAATCTTCTACATGCTCACTCTTTGTGCTCATCGAGGTCATAGTCTGATTGCTCCAGCTCTGTGAAGCCTCTCTGGTTGGATTGGCAGAGCCCCTTGCCATGTCCCACACTGCAAGATGGTTCTAGAACTATGCTGTACACTGGCTGGTGGAACGCACCCCAGCCCAGGGGATGTGGGCTCAGCCAGTCCTGCCCTGCCGACAGGCTTTGGGCCATTCAGGAATCACCACCTTGGTCTTGCTCTGAGGCTCCCCCTGAGACTGTACCATGCCAGGCATCCCTGGAGAGCCGCAGTAGGCCCCCGATTGCCCCCCAGATGATTGCTGCCTCCCATCCACATAGACCTGTCATTCTGTTCGGACGGAACTTGGTCCCAGGGAGCTGTGGGATGCCCCAGGCCTCAGATCCTGGCATGAGGGAGTGCAGTGATCTCTAGCCCTGGGGTGGGCTTCAAGCTCCTGATCTGCTTTCTCCCACAGGCACCAGATCCCCAGGGACTGGAGGTCTCGCCAGCAGAGATTCCTCTGTTCTAGATGACACAGCCAGTCAGCCAGGGGATGATGAGGAAGCTTTTGATTTCTTCAAGCAGCAGGACCTAGTGGCAGGTGAGGGCCCACCCATCCTGGCCCTTAAGGAGGCAGAAAAGTCCTTGGAAGAGGAGGAGGAAGAGGAGGAGGCACTGGATCCATTGGGCATTATGCGGTAAGTCTCCTGTTGTCAGAAGGACCCCCTTGGCTCGTTCTAGGCTTGGTGGAGACAGCCCTTCCCTCCCTCTTTTCTGGAGTCTGAGAAGACCCTGAGCTTCCCAGGTCACTCACTCACAGGCATGGGGGGCCACAGGGCCTTGGCCCAGTATGTTCCAGGGATCTGGCTCTCTGTTCACCTTTTTTCTTTTTTTCTTTCTTTTTATTTATACATGGCAGTTGAGTCAACTTTGTCATATTTATACAAACATGGAGTATATCTTATTCTAATTAGGGCCCCAGTCTTGTGGGTGTACATGATGGCCATTCACTGTGGTGGATTCATATATGAACACAGGGAAGTCATGTCAGGTTCATTCCACTGTTCTGTTCCTGTCTCCTTCCATTCCTTTCATTCCCCTTGTTTAGTCCACTGAACTCTCTGCTCACTCTTCATGCACCCACATCTTTGGGGCTAGGCTCAGATACCCTTGCCTACCCCCCTTTTCACTAGGTGCCCCCTGCCCCTGCCTTTATACCAAGGCCTGGCGAGCTGCCCCCAGGACAGCTTGGTAGCCCAGGCTGCTGGACCCGGCCTCCTGCCACCAGGGCCTGGGCTCTCCTTCTAGTCAAGTGCCTGGTGCTGTGACTGCACCTCCCTGGGCCTTCCTCACCATCTGTGAAGTCAGAGGATTGCCCTTGGCTCTGCCCCCGTGGTTAGTTGGAGGTTCCTGTGAATCGTGTGGTTGGAGGGGACTTGTGACCACAAATGCTATGTGTGATGCAGGAGGTAGAGTGCACATGGGTGCCTCAGCCAGTGGACAGTGTCCTTTTCCCCAGCACACACACGCACACATGTGCACACACTCTGGCTGGAGATGAAGAGGCAGGCCAGCCAGGCAACCCTTTTTCTTTCCTGGCCCTCTGACTACCTTCAGCCAATCAGCGAGCTGCTCCTGAGCCCCTAGTACATGTATCGTCCTATGCTGGGAGTGGGGGGAGGGAACACTGTTCAGACATCTGCTCCCAGGGCCTGTCTGGTGACACAGGTCATCCCAACCAGAGGGCAGTGGCTTCCTGAGGCTTGGGAGCTAGGACACTCAGCTACCCCACGGCTCTTGCTTTTTCTCTTTGGTCCAAGCAAAGTGAAATTCACATTTTCTGAGGACCTACTATGTGCTGGGCATTGTACTTTGTACTTCACGTACTTTGTCTCATTGTCTCCCTGCCTTGCGAGCAGCTGTCAGTATCCTATTATAGAGATTAAAGAAACTGAGCCTGCATTGGCCAAGTGCCCTGCCTGAGGTCGGGCAGCTGGCAAAGACTGGTACCAGAGTTGGAGCCGAGTTTGAAGTTCTGGTCTCGGGAAGGCCTGAAATCCTGCCTTTGCCACTTACCAGACATGTGCCCCTGACCATTTACCTCTTCTCTTCAGTTCTCCCCAGTGAAAAGGGGCTCATGATAGTCCCTACCTCTCAAGGCTCTCAAGAAGATTAAATGAGTCATGTAGACATTAGCCTTCGCTGTCGTCATCCCCCGCTTTCTGTGGAATCAGATCCAAGACCAGGGTGCCCTTCTGCCGTCCATGATGACCATGTCTTAGGGATTTACTAAAGACCTCAGTCTGGAGAGGAGGGAGCCCTGTCTTCTAGGACCTGCTCCAGAAAGGAACTAGAGCCAGGGAGAAATCAGACAGAGGCAAATCCAACCTCAGCATGGAGAATGAGCCCCTAATAGCTCTGCCCCTCTGCCCCAGTGGGATGTGTGAGCAGTGGGCTGCTGGAGCATGAGGATGCACACTTAGAAAAGCGCCCTGTGCTCAGGAAGCCACAGCAGAAGCAGGGGTCTCTCTCCTTAGCGACCCTCCAGCCAGCCTTGTCCTGGAAGTTCAGGGCAGTGTGGATGATGCCAGAAGTCTATAATAGCCACTGCTTATCAGCCTGGCCCAGCCAGAAGCCCTTCTTAGGCTCTATTTTGGTATGGATAAGGCGTCGTTTGAACTCACTCTCTCTTGTTCTGAGTAACTACATGTAGTGCCAAACTGAGATAGACTTCTGTGGTTTGTGCCAGCCTTTGGCTGGAGGACACACTTAGCAAAGAGGCTCCTTTTTTGGGTAGGAAAATGCTCTTTGGGGTTAGTAAATGCTGCCCTGAACTTCCTACTTGCTCCATTAACAGCTCACTAGGGGGATGGGTCAGCAGGCCCAGAATCCCCTGTCCCCAGCTCTGCATTCCAGGGTCCTGGCTCTCAAACCCTAGGAAAGCTTAGCACCTAAGAGGAATCCCCTCTCCTGCCAGTTTTTCCTTTAAGAACCTTGTGACACTAATTGGTGTTATCACCTCTGTCAAGAATAAGTAACATTTTTTGGAGCTTATTAAATGCTGAGAGCTGAGCTAGTTAGCATTTGCTTGCATTAGCTCATCCTGTCTTAGAGTCAGCTTTTCTGAATCTTTTTGCCCCCAGTAAAAAATGATGTTGTATGTCATGACCCAGGACATACAAATTTCTTATAAAATGGAAACAAAAGTTTGAAGAATTCATATGAAACCTTACTAAGGGTATTGTGTTCTGATGGTTCCTATTCTGTTTCAGTTTTTGAAAAGGTCATGATACATCAAACTGCTGTCAGGATCTGCCTTGGGCACAGTGCAGGAAGTAGAGCTTTAGGAGGATGATACTGGCATTGACTTCATTTTGCATATTAGGAAACTGAAGTTCAAAGTCAAGTTGCTCATCCACACTCATAAGGCCCACAAATGGTAGAGCCAGGACAAGAGGCCACCTATAGTCTTGTCTTTAGTTGGTATGCTTAGAAGGTAGGGCCCTAGGATTGTCCCCTTTCACAAATAGGGAAATTGAGGTCAGAGCTAATCAGGGATTTGACAAGAGCCTGGTATGTGGCAGAACTGAGCCTTGAGATCAGGTTTCCCACTGTGCCTCTTGTGGACACCCAGGGGTTCCTGTGGGTGGTCTTAGAGGGCTACCTGTCTCACCTTTGGTGGAGAACAATCTGTCCTTTGCAGGCAACTTATGTTCTACAAAAATCTTTCTCTATGCTGTGCCCTCAATTCCTTTGCACACACAGCAGCCCTGGCCTCCAGGCTGTGCCCACACCCCAAACCAAGCTCCTATCTGGGCCTGGCTCTACCTTCCTGAAGCAGCCACGTTTCCATGCACCCAGCCTCGGTCCTTCCCTGACAAAGCCGCTGTGGGGCGCTGTGGCTCCACCTAGAGCCGCCTGGGAGGGTGGGAGTCGCCAGCACAAAGCTGGGGTCTGACAAGCACTTTTCTTTGTCTTTTCAGCCTGCCTCTGATTAGGAAGAAGGGCGTTATTGTGCCTTTAGAGAGACAGTAGGACAGAAAAAGCCCTCACCCTGGCCCATCTGACGCTACCACTGCCCTTTCTTGCTGGGATAGTTCTCCATCCCTGACCCTGTGCACCCACATAACAACAGACGGGGAGCGCGTGCCGTTTTATACTCTGTTTTTGCACTCAGTGTCTATTTTGATTGCCTCTCCATGTCGAACATAGTTTTCATATTTAACACTCTGTTTAGCTTCTTCATGGTTCTAGGAAAAAATGAAGTTATGCCATTATGGTCTGCATTCTACTAGAAAAACTTGCTAGGAACATTTTTCACTATGACTCAAATAAGATGCAACTAGTAGAGAAAAATGGAGAACACAGGAAGAAGTCCTTCCCTGTGGAGGTGTACACTTCTGAGCATTCACATCTTGTTACCCAGCAGGGGGGTGGTACCTGTGCCGTTCCGTAGTTTGGTTTTTCAGTGTGTGTAGGTCTTTCCAGGTCAGTGAATCCACTTTTCCAGTTGTGCGCTGCTTGTCCCTCAGGCCATGTGCTGTAGAACACTGCCAGACCCTGCAGGTAGAAGCTGTGGTCTCTTCCTGGGCTTTTGCTATGATAGGTAGTAGCTTGAGAAAGTTTTGCATGTACAGAGCTGTGTCTGCTCAAGCATTTCCCCTAGGTCCAGAGTCCAGCGCAAGGTCCCCAAAGCTTTAGCAAAGAGGCTCCAGCAAAGGGCTCTTTGACAGTTAAGTTCCCTCTGTGGTTGGTGGGGGGGCTCTGCTTTTACAAACCCCTCCCACTGCAAGACTGCTTCCTCCCATCTCTCCTAGCCCAGTGCCCAGTCACAGGGAGCCTGCTGCAGGTCCTAGGTCCCTGAGGATTCAGGTGCTCTTGGGTCAGGTTGCCTCTGTACACCCTGAGAGGCAAATATCCTCCCAGACTTCTTTTTTTTTTTTTTTGATGGTGCAAGGCTGAAACCTAGGTGCTTGAGCTTGCTAGCTAGGCAAGCACTATACCACCAAGCTAACCCAGGCCACCCAAGACTCTCAAGGTGGGGTCCCATGCTATGGCCTCCAGTGGTGAAGCGGCGTGTTTCTTTGGAGTGCTTTTCCATCATAATTTTTATAGAGATTTTGTTGTATTTTTTATAAAATAACTACAGGTGTTTCAATATAAAAATAATATTTTACTTCTTGTATTAGGATGAAATCATTGCTCTGGGAAGACTATTTGGTTTAGAATGCCCCTGGCATACTGTAAGTGTCACAGATTTCCTGACCCTGCATTCAGAACTTAAGCGGACCCCCAAAGTGAGCCATGATTCCCATGTCCCCACTTTAAGGACAACATGGCCTTAGCCCTACCCCCTGAGGGGCCCTGGACCTGTCTCCCTTGAGGGCCTCTTGCTAAATAGCTACCATCTCTCCTGGACTAGGGCCTTGAGCCCAGGTATCCAGGTCTTCTAGAACAGATAGCCAGCTGGGACTATGTCCAACCTAGAGCTGCTTAGAGATGCAGATTCTCAGGCCCCTGGGATCTGGGCAGAACAGCCCTTGAGGTGAGTCCTCTGTAGGCTCATGTTACAGAAGCCCAGAAATCAACCCCATTGAGTGCCTGCAGCCCCCAGGGTACCTAGGAGGGGTCCCACGTTCAGGGCAGCCCCTCCTTGACTCTGCTCCTCACCTCCTTGTGCTCCTCTTGGATTTTCCCT